TCGGACTCGCAACCGTAAGGTCGTGGGTTCGAATCCCGTCGAGGGCCCGACGTTGTGTCCTTGGGAAAGGCACTTTGCACAAATGTTCCTCACTTCACCCAGGTGGAAATGGGTACCCGGCTATAGACAGTGAACGATCGTGTCAGTTTGAGCGCGTGAAATCCGTAGCTTGCACTGTATGCTTCCGCGGAAGCCGAGAATGTTTCTGAGTGTTCTCAGAGGGTCTGCTGGGGTAATAATAGTTGTAAAGCGCATTGAGCGTAGATATGCGCTATATAAATGCCATTATTATTATTTTGTCTCTCTGTGTGTGTCTGTCTGTATGTCTGTGTGTCTGTCTGTCTGTCGGCGGGAGAAATCATCATCCACCATCCTACCCCTTTGTGGGTGATGATTGGCGGGCGCTCTGGTACCTGGTGTGGTTTGCTTCTTCTTTTCGATCTGTCCTCCTTATCTTTCCTCCTCCTTACATGTCTTTGTATGTTACTGTCAAATGGTAACACCTTTGATCTCCAACACTCATATGACCTATTTGTGTGACAAGTGCCGTTCGCAAAACTCTTAATTTAATGTAAAACACGTAAAAACCCTGCCCTACCCTTTGAGTTTGAGCAATGAACATATATTTTTTTTCAATTTGTATTCAAACAGATGTCTCAGTAAATAAATTATGAAACGCCTCTGATTCTTTCTACCCTCGGGTGTTTGGTTTGCTTGGTCTACGCCGTGCGTGGGTGTGTCAGGAGGTGATATGAAGAGATGAAAGAAGAAATGATCAGAGGAAGGCAGGCGACAGAATGAGAGAGAAGAGACTGATTGATTGATTCGTTCTTTCCATAGGATTAATGGGGAAAACGAATTGTGGATGAGCTTATACGGCGAGAGACAGAGACAGAGGGGGGAAGCAGGAAGGAAGGGAGAATTCTTAGGATTGAGTATTTTGTTTCTTTGGGAGATAGAGGGATTGGCAGGGGGAGTGTAGGGGAAATGAGGAGGGTTTATTTGCTTCTTTCTTTTAAATTGCACGCTTTCTTTTAGAGGGGGGGGGGGGGGGTAGAAGTAAAGGAAAAAAGGGGGGGGGAAAGGTTGAATTTGGGGAAAAAAAAAGGGGGGGGAGGGAAAAAAAGAAGGTTTAAAAATTGCCCGAAGGGTCCAAAAAAAAGGGGGATGGAAAAGGGGAAGGCGGGCCGGCGGGACAGAAAACGAGAAAGAGAGGAGAGAACAAAAACAAGAGGCCGGTCAAAGGCCAGAAGACCGGAAACCAGACTAGATCGGGTAGAAGGGAAAATAGCAAATGGAAAAAGAGGGGGGTGGGGAGGGGTAGA